ATCTCAGCACTCAAGAGGTAGAGCCAGGCAGATCTCTGTGAGTTTGAGGCCAGCCTGGTCTACAGAGCGAGATCCAGGACAGGCACCAAAACTACACAGAGAAACCCTGTCTCAAAAAAACAAAACTAAATGAAAAAATAGCTGGTAAAATAAAATTATAATAAAATCCTAGGCAAGGTGAGTGGTGAGTTTATCCTGAAACACAAGGAAAGATTCGCTTGCTAACCCTCTAGGTTGGCATCCAGGAGTACTATGAAGTCAGCCTATATGGAGCGCCACTAGAAGACTCCAGAAGATCTTACCTGGAGGGAAACATGCAGTCATCTTCCCGGTATAATCTCTTCTTAATGATCTGGTAATGGGTTCCTAGCTTCCGTCTGACCACCTCGGCCATCATCTTCCTGGAGATCCCACCTCGGAAAGGAGCGAGGTCCTCTTCTATGACGCTGTGACAGAACAGAGATCATCGAGGAGAGCAGGTCAAGAGACTGGTGCCGCTCCGGGTACTCCCAAGTGCATTTTGTTCAGAGAAAATACCTGGCATGTTTAGAGAATCCACTAAGCAGAAAGGAAAGCAGTGGATGGGAATGAGCGGCTCTTCTACAAAAGCACCATGGGTAACTAGACGCGCGCGCGCGCGCGCACACGTGCGCACGCACACACACACACACACACACACACAATACACATACACACACACACACACACACACACACACACACACACACACATCAAACTCAACCTGGGGAAGGTGGTTCATTGGGTAGGAGGGCTTGCACAAAGACCTGAGCTCACATCCCCGGCACCAGAGGCCATAGCCATAACCCCGGGGAAGAGGCAGACCTCTGGAGGCTTGCTGGCCACCAATCCAGCTCCAGGTTCAGTGAGAGACCTAGTCTTAACAGACTGAGGCAGAGTTGACACCCGAAAGAAACGCACCCAAACGTACACAGCACACCCAATCAAACATGCTGAGGACATAGTGCCGTGGTAGAGTGCTTGCTTAGCATGGGCAAGGCCCTGGGTTTGATCTCCAGCACCACACACAGCAAAGTCACAGGAAGAGCAAGTAAATGTTTCTTCTTCCTTCCCCTCATCAGGCCTGCCCCTTCCTTAGATGATGACCTGTATTCCTCCTTCCTATTTACGGCAAACCCAATTCCTTAGCCCCTGCCAGCTCACAGACGTCCTATTTTTCTGTAGTATAAAGGTGAGGTTCATGCTCCCTAGCATAAACTGCAGTAACCAGGAAATAAATTACATCTCTTTTCAAGTTCAGCACAAAGTAGGTTTCGAGAACTATCATTAGCATCAGGTGAATTTCTGAGGGCATGAAGAACTATGACTTCTGTTGATCTGATGAGGAACTTTCAGAGGAGCTACATGGCTTGCCATATGGGGTGGTCAGTGGGAGAACTCCTTGGGCCTTATGCTTTCAATGTACTTATCTTTCTACCATACTAAACCCAGCCCAAACTTGCATACCTTAAAGATAAAAACCAAGAGGAAACACTGATTAGATGATAAAATGCTCGTTCCTTCAACATGCAATTGAGGGCTGCCAACACCAAAGACAAAAAGACAAACTCTGGCCCTTAAGAGGCAGGTGGATCTCTGTGAGTTCAAGGCCAGCCTGGTTTACAAAGCAAGTTTCAGGAAAGGCGCAAAGCTACACAGAGAAACCCTGTCTTGGAAAACCAAAAAAAAAAAAAGGCTTTCAGTCTGTGGCAGAAACAGAAAAGCACGTGTGCTAAATCCCATAGAGAGTAGAGACCACGTGGAGAATATCAAGCCTCTCCCATCCCAGGGCATTTTCTTTTTTTTTTCTTTTTCTTTTTTTTCTTTTTTTTCTTTTTTTTTGGTTTTTCGAGACAGGGTTTCTCTGTGTAGCTTTGCGCCTTTCCTGGAACTCACTTGGTAGCCCAGGCTGGCCTCGAACTCACAGAGATCCGCCTGGCTCTGCCTCCTGAGTGCTGGGATTAAAGGCGTGCGACACCACTGCCCGGCTAAAGGGCATTTTCATATAACAGAAATACCCCTTCTGTTCTCAAGACATGCTTAGATCACTGATAACTGCCATCAAGATCTCTCAAGAGACTTTGGAAAGGTCCCTATGACAAGAATCCAGCTCTCAGGGACACATCAAGGAACTCACCCGTGGTAGCAGCTGCAGTTTTGACTTGAACAGGGTTCATAATTCTCCAAAGCCCTGTTAATTTGGTCAATAAATACTTTCCATTTTGAGCCTTCAAAAAGTGAAGGAAATGAGAGTTAACAAAATACCCTTGGCATTCCTATTTGCAAGCAGCAGGCAGAAGCAACAGAAGACCAACACTTGTAGAAATCCCCTTCCTTTCCCAGTAGTGGAAACGAAATGCCAAGAAGGATTCTTTGTGTAACTTGTCGGGGCTTGAGTCAAGTCTGCTCCTCTACCTGGGCCATCGGGTATCTAAGAAATTGGAAAAGTCACAAGCTTAATGTTCGGCCTTAAACGGCTTATGGATACAGTGGACTTCGACATGGATTCTCACCTAATCACACTGAGCCCCATAGAGAACCCAGTGCCAAGTCTTGGACATAACCCTCTCTCCTAAAGTGTGTGCTAGGGAGGCACGGAACAGTTTTCTGCGATGAAACAGGGGACATCCCTCTCTCCCTACCACCCCCTGTTCCTGAAGATGGGTTACTGTCCAGGGACCAGGGCCAGAGGCAGAGGCCCAGACACCTCTGCTCGTCCCCGCCCGCTGCCGGCCGCCCAGCTCGCGCTGCAGCCACACAGCATCCTCCGCGCGCCGGGGACCGGGACCGGAGCGAGCGCCTCGGGAGCCGAGCGCAGCCGGAGCCGCTGCTGCAGACTCGGCCCTGCCCGGAGCCCACCTGACTCCTTCTGGCGGCCCTGCACCGGGAACAGCAGCAGTAACAGCATCCATGGCCCAAGCCGACAGCCCGCCCGCCGCTCCATCACCCGCAGACCACTGCGGATTCCGGCCCGCACGCCGGCAGAAGCGCCGCCCCGCACAAGGATGGCCGCGGACGCCGAGGCACGTGGGAACTGCCCGGCACAAAGATGGCTGCCCGGCACCCTTGCTCTTCCCCGCCCCCTTACAGGAGCCGGCCTTGCGAAATGAGGCACCTGGAAGCTAGCCAGGATAGCACCTCTAACAATGGTCATTCTTTCCGTTCTGTGACAAAGTGAAGGTCAGAGGTAGCGTCTTGCTACAGCTACACACAGTGTAAGCTAGGTCATCCCAGAACACCAAATTGCTTAGTTATTGAGTATATGAATGGATGCATACTGTTAGGCCACAAAGGATTTCAGATAGATTAGCACAGATCACTTTGAAATAGGAATTTATAGCAATTATAACACCAATCTGCGGTGGTAAGCAAGATTTATAGTAAGCCCTCGTCTTGTAGTGAGGCCTGTGGTAGGCTCCAAAAGACCATACCAAACCAGAATATCAATAGGCAAATTGAATATATTTTTAAAGTTATATATTTCATCATTAAGGTTTTTGTTTGTTTGTTTTCTTGAGACAGAGTGCTACTATATAGCTCAGGCTGGTCTCTAAATAATGATCCTCTTGCCTCAGCTTTCAAAGTTTGTAGGTACATGCCACCAGACCTTGCCAAATGCAGAACTGAACTTCAAATGGGTTTGTGCTTTTATAAACAAACAACAAACCATGAGACTCACAGCAACCGATCAAAAAAGGATCACACTGAGACATGGCTCAGCGGCCAAAAGCACACACTGCTCTTACAGAGGGCTTGAGTTGAATTTTCAAAACCAATGTCCCATGACTCACAAATGCCTGTAATTCCCCAGTTTCAAGGGGATCTAGCCTCTGGCCTCCGGCCCCAGAGGGCACCTGCACTCAAGTGTTCATAGCCACACACAGACATATATGTTCAAAAATAATAAAAATAAATCTTTTTTTAAAAAAGGCCAATGTAACCTGGGCAAGTATGATTTTTAAAAACGGTCCCCCTTTTAACATCTTAAGGAGAGTAAGTTTCATTTCTGGTTGTTTTTTGAAACTGCATGTAGTGTAACCTCCACTTGGGCATGTAGCCAAAGGTATCCTTGAATTCAGAGGTGATGGTGCACACCTTTAATCCTAGCATTCAGAAGGCAGAGACAGACAGATCTCTGGGTTTGAGGCCAGCCTGGTCTATATAGTGAGTTCCAGGATAGCTGGGGCTACATAGAGAAACCCTGTCTCGGCTCTTTAATGTACCTGAGTTCCCCCAAGATTTTTTTTTTTTTGAAGGAACGATTGTCCTCGTCTGTCTTAATTACTTTTCTATTGCTGTGCTAAAATACCATGGCCAAGGTAACTCATAGAAGGAACAGTTTATTAAGGCATACAGTTGCAGAGGGTGAGTCTATGACCATCATGGCAGGGAGCGTGGCAGCAGGCAGGCAGTGATGATGCTAGAGCAGTAGCTGAGAGATCACATCTTTTTGTTTTGTTTTGTTTTTGTTTTTCGAGACAGGGTTTCTTTATGTAACAGCCCTGGCTCTCCTGAAACTCACTCTGTAGACCAGGCTGGCCTCGAACTCACAGAGATCCTTCTGCCTCTGCCTCCCAAGTGCTGGGATTAAAAGTGTACGCCACCACCCCTCAGCTCAAGAGATCACATCTTGATGCAAGCACAAGGCAGAGAGAAAGCTAAATAGGAATGGCATGGGTTTTTGAAACTTCAAAGCCCATCCCCAGTGACACACCTCCTTCAACAAGGCCACACCTCCTAATCCTTCCCAAACAGTTCCACCAACTGGGGACCATTTAAACGTAAGAGCCTATGGGGACCATTCTCATTCAAACCACCATAATTTCCCCACCACTTAAAAGTCATCCATTTGTTTGTGTATACAAACCATGCTGTATGTGTGGGGGTGGGAGGACAACTTTCTTTTTTTTGTCTGTTTGTTTTTGTTTTTTGAGACAGGGTCTGTGTAGCTTTGCACCTTTCCTGGAGCTTGCTTTGTAGACCAGGCTGGCCTCGAACTCACAGAGATCCTCCTGGCTCTGCCTCCCAAATGCTGGGATTAAAGGCATTGGTCACCACCGCCCAGCAAGGACAACTCTCAAGATTGGTTTTCTCCTTCCATATCTGGGTCCCAGAGAGAGAACTCAGGTTGTCAGGATGTTTGACAAGCACTTATTTTTTAAGCTGCTGAGCCATCTCACCAGCCCAAGAACACCTTGATCCATAGGTAAGATGCTGTGAGACTCATGAATCACAAATGAAAAACAATTAGTTCATTAAATTCGTTGAAAATGTGGTTTGTTTTTTTTTTCCTTGACAGTGGGTAATTCAATACTGGGCAGTATAGTTATAATCCAGAGTGCTGCTTACTGGATTGCTCCTGTTGGCTTTCTCAGTTTGTTTTCTTATACACCTCAGGACCACCTGCCCAGGAACAGCACTATCCAGAGTGGCTTGGAACTCCCATATCAATCAACAATCAAGAAAATGCCCCATCGGCCAATGTTTGCCAAAATTGCTCACGGGTCAACTCTAGGAGGGCATTTTTCTCAACTGAAGTTCCCTCTTCCCAAATTACTCTAGCTTGTGTCAAGTTGGCATAAAACTAGCCAGCACAGTGCGATTGTGATAAAATGATTTTATTAAATTAAAATTATGGCAAGTAGGGGCTGGATAGCTGGCTCAGAGGTTAAGAGCACTGGCTATTCTTCCAGAGGACCCAGGTTCAATTCCCAGCACCCACAAAGCAACTCACAATTGTCTGTAACTCCAGTTCCAGGGGCTCTGACACCCTCACACCAATGCACATAAAATAAAATTAAATTATATTTAAAAAAAAAAAAAAAACGGCCAGGCAGTAGTGGGGCACGCCTTTAATCCCAGCACTGGGGAGGCAGAGGCAGGAGGATCTTTGTGAGTTCGAGGCCAGTCTGGTCTACAGAGCAAGATCCAGGACAGGCACCAAAACTACACAGAGAAACCCTGTCTCGAGAAACAAAACAAACAAACAAACAAACAAACCTATTCCTTAAAAACAATTATGCCAAGTATTATGGCACGTGCTTGTAATCCCAGCACTCAGAGATGACTGAAGGAGGATCAGGTGTTTAAGAGTAGCTGAAGCTATGTGAGACCCTCTTTCAAAAAAAAGGAAGGAGGAAAACCAATAAAAATTAGTTTGGGTCTGTTCAAATGGCTTACTGGGTAAAGGTGCCTGCTGCCAAGCCCAACAGCCTGAGTTCAATTCCAAGGGTCCACCAGTGGAAGGAAAGAACTGATTCCCGCAAGTTGTCCTCTAACCTTCACACAGGCAAAAGGAAGAAGACAGCTTTTTCTGGAGTCAAATATTAGTGACCATGGCCCCAGGTGGGTGCATGCACTGAGCTTATCCCAAATACAGCGTTCCAATATAGTAATCGTTTCATGAAATTTTTATAGTTACAAAACAAAAAATCATAAATCAATGTATTTTTTTTTCTTCCATTGAGTTTACTTATTTATTTATTAGCTTTGGAGCCTGTCCTGGAACTCGCTCTGTAGACCAGGCTGGCCTTGAACTCACAGAGATCCGCCTGCCTCTACCTCCTGAGTGCTGGCCATCACTGCTCAGCTTGCTTTTCTTTCTTTCTTCCTTCCTTCCTTCCTTCCTTCCTTCCTTCCTTCCTTCCTTCCTTCCTTCCTTCCTTCCTTCCTTCCTCTCTC